CCTGCCCCCTTCTCGCACTTCGTCAACCTTTCGTGACAGTTTCCCACTCACCCACTCATACTCCTGGTTGGAAGAGAGAACGAACTGCCTTGCTTAAGTTTACGGCATAAATCATGAATTGTACCTTCACAGTAAAATTATCCCCTAAAGTCGAACTGTAATGTTTTGTGTCTGTAGCAATATCATACTCAGTTCCACTGAAGACGTGTGAGACACCATCGAAAACAAGCGAGTTGTTTCTGTACAAAATATTACTGGACCAGCGTAGAGCTTTCTGTGGATCGTGGTACGGAGCCACCTCACTCCACACACATCTTTGAAGAGAAGAGATATAAATAGCTGCTCCTTTCAACTTGCTGCTATTCTCGATAAAGGATACGTTAGTCTAATAAGAAAGAAGTATAAAACATATTCGAATTAATTTAGAATGTGATATAAACTTGAATAATTCAAAGAATACAAGCGCTTACCTTCCATTTTGATGGGGGCAAGTGTGGGTCACTGTAAGCCAGAAAACAGTTAGGATTAAACTCGTGTATAAACTCACTCATGATGTGTTCCCATACGAATATCGCGCCGCCCATTCCACTGGCCTTGTTTCCCATGAACATCAGTTCGCTTCCTGGATAAAGTATAATTTGACTTGATCGCAAGAACAACGCCCCTCCATTGGATCCTACGTTTTTGGAAAACACCAGCTGTCCTTCCACATGTAAAACGCAATCCTGAAAACCTCCTGCGCCTCCGCCATGGTTGCGCTGAAAACTGTTGCTTCCTTGAAACCTTATGTTCACCCTTTGACTTGTCAACGGACTAGTGCGTGCAATACTCGACATGTTATGATCCTCAAACTTGCAGTTTATAAACTCCGGGGTAACATCCATGGTGCTTCCATACGGAAGGGCAGTGGTGAAGCGAATCGCCGCACTGGCATCACCCTGGTTGTTAGTAAACACCACATTATCAAACCTCAGCACAGAGTCGTTAGGTTTCTCATCGTAATTCATGAGGAAAACATTCATCCCTGCTCCTCTCCTCGCCTTATTTTCTGCCACGGTGCAGTTTCTGATGACACTTGTGATGCTAGACGCATTATCCCACTGAGAGAATATGAGCCCCCCTCCAGTTTGTCCGGCTCTGTTTTTTACAAAAAGCGAGCCAGTTATCGACAAGTTGTTTTTCGACGCCGAGTTAGAGTCAGCGAGGTAGAATCCCCCTCCATATGTTGCCGAGTTGTTCGAAAACGTAGAGTGTTCTATCACAACACGACAGTGATTAGTCTTCTTCAAGAACACAACCAGAACACCCCCACCCCCTGTGGTGAAGTGCGAGACATTGTATGAGGGTGCAATATACGATGCAGAATCATTTGTCACGGCAGAGTTGAGGGTGAAATTTGAATTTGTTATTACCACAGAAAGAGAAACTGAAGTTCGAAACAAAAATCCTGCTGCACCACCGGCCGAGGTCAACCCTTCTTTGAACTCCACGCTGGAATTGCGTCCATTTGAAGTGTTATTTTGGAAAGTACAACTTTCTACAGTGACCTCGCTATCAAAGGCGTTTAGCCCAGCCTGTTCGTTGTGTTCAAATACACAATTCCTGAAGTTTATTTTAACAGAGTTCCATATAAGAACAGTAGCGGCGAAACGAGGGCCACAGTGTTGAAATTTAAGGTTTTCTACAATTATATTTCTTGTCTGATTACTTTGACTAACTCGAAATCCAATATCGATTCCAGCAAAGACATTTGTACATCTAATGATGGATCCATATGCGTGACTTGATTGGAGAGAAATACTCCTCTTTGGGTTGGTTTGAGTAATGTTGATCCGTTTGCCCAAAAGGTAAATGTGATCTTCGATCAAAAAAATGAAGAGTGTTTGATTGTGGTTCTCTTCGTCCTCCATGGCATTCAGAGCAAATTCGATCGTTTTACATGGCGCTGAGGCACTCGAAAGTAAGCAAGATGTGGTATCATGTCCGGCGGTGGTTGAAACTCGGATTTCCAAAGCATTTGACCTTTCCTTAATAATCAAAATGCAAATGAACATAACACAGACAACGACTAGGTCATTGATACGCATTGTTGCTCAATAACGTAGAAAGAGGTGCGAGATTTACCCACGACTCTCGCATTGAAACTCGAAACTTGTCTGTCCAAATGGATTAATTGATATTCCATTTTAAACAGAAAGGTCACGTAAGAGTGTCTTTAGAGGTAGTTTCAAAAGGTATCACGCGGTTTTCACATGACTGCTATCACTTGGAGAGGTTACCAAGCACACATAAGACCGTCTGAGAGGAGACCGTACTCCCTAAACGCGCCGTCTAGGGTGGGGAAGGGTGCAAGACATGGGAAGAGAGGAGTCACATTCCACTATGTTATCAACTAAATTGTCCCCAAAGTTGAAAAGCGACTCGATCTTGCTGATTAACCGCCGATATGTGCGACAGCGAGACGCTTCCATTGAACTCCTTTCCGTGATATGCTGTCATCACTTCTTATGGTAGGTCTATGTGGGTCCATGTAGTTCTCGTCTTGAATACAGGATCTCACTAAACGCGTTGCGTAAACACAATTGATGACGTAATTTGATCATATCAACTAAGTTGAAACTGAGTGGTTGAAATTAAACATAACGAATATATATGAACTGCGGTTATAGAAACGTATTTGTGCACGATCCTCGCAGTAAAGCACTATTTAAACAATAGTGAAAATCAGACCTGAAAAAATTCAGGCCTGTACGGGATTCGAACCACTGACCTCTGCGATACTAGTGCAGCGCTCTGCCAGTAGAGCTAACAAGCCAACTGGGTGCGGATCATCAAATTAGTCCGACATAAACCCGCTCTGACAAAGCGCTAACGCTCGAAACGTCAGCATTACGGTGGCCAATTTACAATTTTTATATAACCAAATTACCATGTTACTCCCACCGACGCAGCACCACAGTTTCTTGAGAAACAACCCCTTTCAACAATTGATGACGGTCAATCGACAATATCGCCGGAGTGGGGTGATATCAGTTTGACAAAAAAAATATTGTCACGACGAATACCGTTTTCGATAAGAGTACAGACCACGAGAAGCCATTGTTGATTTGTTAAGTTTAATCGTCAGCTGACTGTTATGTTCTTTGAGGTAATTTTTATCCGTTCCAAGCCGAAACTTGTTAGTTATGTAATCAGTCACTGTACTAAGCTACATTTCACCTTCTCTTAAAAGAAATCCAATTGACAACCAAATAACAACATAAAACTTGACATTTATTAGAACATGTATCTTCCCAGAACATGTAGGCTGAAAATTCTCGACAAATATTTCCGCTGACAATTTTAAACGCCATCAATTATTGTAATAATTAATTAACTTAAATAAGGAGAAATAACATTTGGCTCTGTCATGCATCAAACCGACATTGACAATGATGACAAAAATATTCAGAAACACATCACTGAAGCTCCTTACGGCACAACAAACAAACACAGACCAGCTGGTTTGGGGGAGAAACAGAAGCTATCAATATAACAATCGTGAGTACAAAGCTTTCGAATCTAAAAAAAGATTCCTGATTCCTCAAGACTAACGACAAAAAATTTAGATCTGCAACCAGACTCTTAACCCTTCAACTCCCATAGGTGACCAAGACAGAATTGCTCCCTACAATATCACTACAATAGGCCATTTCCGAATTAAGTTTGGCCTCTTTTTCAAAACGAGGCCTGGTGTTCAACCGTATGAAAGTGAGTTTAATTTGCATGTGAATGAAACTTATTACCATACGAAAGGATGAGCACCAGGACTCGCTTTGAAAAAGAGGCTAAAGGCAATTCGGAAATGGGCTATATCAAGCAGACAAGTGATGAGAATAAAGAAAAATATGAATAAGGGAATCATCAGTTGATCCAATATCAAATTCTCCAAATGAACATTGTAAGTATTGTATAGCAGACAGTATGTCAGATCTTGAGAGTCAAAAGGTTAACCTTGTGGGAATAAAAGCTGTAAGTTTCATCACACATATAAGGTCGTAATGAAACTATTGCCATAAAATAACTAATTTATGCTATTACAATACCATTTCAAAACTTTTACTGAAGTCTTACTTGGTAGCCATGACTGGCGGACTCAATATTCAGTTCAAAATGCTAAGCATACACGATTGTTAAACACTGATGCAGCAGTGGGATACAAGAATTCCTTACAACCCCATAGGTACTTACTTAGCAAAAAAATGTATGTTGGTGAGCTAACATTAATTAATTAAAGTAAATCTATAATAAATCATCGACCCTTTCGACTTCAGTCTCACTAAGAGGTTCCTTCCGAAAAACATGAGAATTTGAAAATAAATTCAGACATGTTTACCATCCAAAACAGTTATAGGTATACACAAATCCAGACGTAAAAGTTTGCCACATTCATTATTTCCAACCCTTTAACTCCCTCAGGTGATTAACATGTAGCTCATCCCTATAATATATCCATACATTATCCAGCAAACGGGTCAAGAGAATATTCAAAGTTATCAAGTGAAAATTCTCTTTATCTAACAATAAATTCTCCTAACTGATATAGAAAGAATATGTAGAAGGCTAGAGGGAGAATTAACCATCAGACCTTGAGAGTTAAAATGGTTAAGTGCATTTGATTTGTCACACAAAGGTTCTTACTGATAAAGATCTTACATTGAGTATTGCTACATACACCTAAGTATTGTCCCATTTAACACATACGATTACATTAACTTAAATATCAATTTCATAAGGTTATTGTTATTAATATTATTATGGTTACTTTGAAAACTGGTTACCACTTATGTGTATTGTGTCATTATCCATTAAGCTGACAAGATAGAAAAAAAACTAATTTACATTGACACAAGTTTGTTAGTTGCCTTGCAGTAGAATGGTAGTCACAAACATCACAAATTATAGCACTCACTCACTTGGACATATTTTCACACTAGAGCTGTTGTAAGACAAAAAGTGTTGATTTGAGTTGTCAGCAAGGTTCCTATTAAATGTCTACAACATCAGAATGATACTTGTAATTACTTAGAAAAATTAAACTGTGCACATCTTGAAACTTGTTTTCCACATACAAAATAAATAAATATCTTTATGTTTGAAAATTGAAGAATAAGACAAATGGCTGAAAAGATGCAAGGAATAAAAGCAATCTGAAAATGAGAGCAAAATAAGAAACTTTTAAGCAAAAATTCTCAGAAAAACCTGCAATCATTGAGAATTTAGCAAGACTTAATTTTGTTACCTTAAACAGCTGTTAGTTGAAAATTTTCAGTGAATAAGTTTATGTAAAGTTGACAGTCCTATCACTTCTGGCTTATACTGTGCATGCTTTATAAACATTACTAAAGAAAAGTGAGCTCATATCTGGGGAAAAAAATTCTGCACAAGCTACTACTCAAACCATCCTTTTCAGCCACTTCTCAAGTTTTCAAGAAAGAAATTTGAATTCTTTGAAATTTAGGCATTAGTATAACAGTGTATTACAACTGAATACTGATTACAAACATTTTACACAGCTATTACCAAATTAAAACTTGTACAACATTGATCAACTGGGAATTTCTTGCAAAATTTTACACAGAAGACAAGCAAGAAGCGCACAGTAAAAATCAGAATTCATGGAGGAAAACTTTAACTGTAACATGATGGACAATGACAATCTCCCCATCATCTAAGCAAGAAATTCTCAGAGACCACCTGACAGAAATTACAAATAAATTGATCAAAAGGTTTGTCTTACAATTTACACTGTGGCTTAACTGAATTCAAATCTATTTTAATTCAATACTGTTAAACATCAATTTTGTTACTTCAATCTTATACAAAACTATAAAACATTACCTTCCTAAAATTTCTTCCTCTGATAATTAAAATATATATATTGCCAAATGCAATAAAATAACATCCTAAAACATTAACCTATTGATAAGTCTGGCAAAACACTGCAAGATCTGTCACCTTCTAGAGAGATTGAAATACAAGCTCTTTGACAATCATTCTAATAAGAAAACCATGTCAGAAGTTTCAGTGCTTACTTTGATAACCCATAGAAGGTGACTCAAGAGATTACTTCATTGCTTTACATATTTTACACACAACTGTCCAGTATAAGTTATCCAATTTAAACTTACTGCAACATTAGAAGTGACGGGTAAACGTAAGTGTGCTGGATAATTAGAGAGAGAGACTGGCAAGCACAAAAACTATGCAAAGACTACCCCAGTGAATCATCATTAGCAAAGGAAAAAGTACAAGATATTTAGAATTAACTAATGAGGTTTCAGTTGAATCATTCCTGCTATTTATTTCCCACATGTTTCACATTAAAAGGGACTAAACTAAGCTATTGTAGATTACTTGTACATCAAAGAGGAATCAAACAGACAATTCCAATGTAATTATGCATATGGCAACTTTTCCAATGTTCAAGGTATAAGTAAAGGTATCTGTCCAGCAGAAACCTTTCAAAACAATTAAATCTCACCACACCACAGGCCTGCTGTTGGTGCTAGCATACTAACTCTCACACTGGCACCATTCAAAGTTGTCAGAGTTTCATCAATTTGTTTTACATTTTCTAGGGATTTATATACCTGGAATAAAGGTTTTCTGCTTTATGCTATCTACACATTGTATATTATTGTACACAATATTAAAGGTCAGTTAAAAACTAAGTATACAACACAGAGGAGAGGGTGAATCTTTGTCATTTACATGAAAAAGAGTTTAGTTATCAGATGTAGACATGCTATCAAAGGGTTAAGAGAAATACTGATCATTGGGGTAAAGGTGTCTTTGCAGAGCTAACAGAAGAACTTAATTATGCATTAAATGTTAAACATTTTTGCACCAAGAAGGTGGACTTGGTTCCAGCAGGTTTTTTTTTTTTATCAATATGGGACAATTAAAATGAAAGCCTTCCATCAACACTGCCACATTACAGCATTTGGCATTACAAATGCAAGTCACTGACAACAAGGACGCACATGACAGCAACACAAGCACACGTCCAATTATTACATGAACTTAAATTGATCATTTCAGTTTGACACAAAGGTCAGGCACCTCCCAGTAATATGATTGAAATTAAAGGGAGATTCATCACTAAATGACAACACTGTCGCCCATAGAAACATCCATTAGCTATTCACACAGACTTGTACGGGAACATGGACAAGGACGGACATGGACTTAGGACACTGTTACTTGATCTGAGCGAGGACTACAAAGTCCTGTATTCTTATCCCACCTTAAAAAAAAAAAAAAAAAAAACATCCAATGTTAAAAAAAAGTGCAATAAAAAACATTTCCAATAAATATCGCTAACTATTCCATTGCATCTACACCTACTAAAGATGGCAAATCTCATTACCAGTTCATTGCCACTCTTTTCAAAGAGCATAAAATACACATACATGAAAAATAATGTGCGCTGTACATGCATGTTGCACTTAGGTTCACTCACAATTTCTGTATGACAAACATGTACATGTTATTGGTTACCCTGAAAAGTCAATGAACTAACAATTCAATTGTTTTATTGAGTTAAAGCATCATCCAAGAGCTACAGGTACAAACAAATATATTCAATACAATGGGTAATTATGTTAGGGAAGTCTGCCATGTTTGAAAGAGGTCAATGGTTTCATTACACTCACCCTGACTACCAAAGCATCTCCTCAAACTCCATAGTTAGAGGAAAGACGCTCTCGCAGAGCTGCAGGAAACTGACTGGAAAATCGTTTCCAGTTTTCTTCACCAACCTGGTTTTTAAACCCATGAAGGATCTACAAATTGAGGTTAGAGGAGAAAAAAAACATTAACTGCAAATCACATAGAAAAAGTAAGCCACCCTAAAAAATCCAAAGTGATCTCACCTTGAGGAACATATCCTTTAAGTCTGGTCCAGGGTTTACCCATGATGCTACAGCATCACAAAAGAATATGAAATCCTAAAATGGAAAACAAGTTGCTTCATCAAAGGCAAATTAAATATATGTTGTGCATGTAAGAGCCCTAAAAAGCACAATGTAATTATAAATAAGATGTATACTGTCCTTACCTGAACAACTCCACCAGGGTTAATACCAATCATGTTACAGATACCTCTGAAGGCAGAGTCTTTTTCCTCATTGTCTCGTATATTCCGCAAGGAAGTACACCTGAAAAATAACAGTTTCAAATATTGAAGATCAACAGCACAGGACTACTTACAAAAGATATAAACTGGATATGTAACACTAGAGTTTCACTCCTTTGTAACATAGAAACTGCTTTTTTAAATGCATTTCCAAAGGCATGACAACTTCTCAAAGGAAATTCAAAGTGGTTGTCATAGCAAGGGCTGTCTTGAGAACAACTATTTCAATATCACTTTATTATATAAACTAATAGCTGTTTGGTATTGTAGGAAAGGCGATTATCTTTGTGGCACAAAAATTGAAAAATATTGGATCAGTCCTTCAAAGATCATTTAGAAATTCAGTAAGAAAAGATTCAAAATCCATCTATAGCACTGTTTTCTCTTGGCTTTGAATTACTCTACCAAAAATGGAATCTAAGCAAAGTGGTGTTACAAAATACGTGTATCTATCAATACTACAAGGGTTTTGAAGAGGGATCTAACCATTTGAAACAAAATAGCACCATTTATCATTGTTAATGTTGACTAACACAATGAACATAGATCATGACAAAGAGTGCCAATGAATAGTCAGAAATCCTGCAGTACATACATGTACAAACACTGAACAAAAAAAGTCATAAATGAGAACATCCAAATTCCACATTATCAAAAACAAACAAATGAACAAACAAAACACAATAAAAGCAACACATAAATAAAAAGAAACACCAATACACACCACTTTTGAATAAACTGCGGTAACAAAGGTGCCACCTCTTGCGGACAAACTAACCCCAGACGACCGATTGTGATTGCTAAAAACACATTCATTAACAAGAAAAGAAACAAATTCATGCCATCAGAACAAAGCTACACAAACATCAATGCAGTGGCTGCATAACTAGCTCAGCGAATCAATGATGCCATGAGTGTTAAAAGAAAAAAGATCTTGTTGTGACATACATTTTGCAACATACACCTGTAGACACATCATATTAATAGCAACTTCAGGGACAAGTGACAACAGTACAACAACATGGAGCTTCTTTCAAAAGTTACTTATTCATGTTTTACATGTGTTGTGCAGTGTGTGTATAATCTTCCAGGAACATGCATGGTTAGTGACACAACTGACAGCTGTTTTAAGTCCACAGGTAAATACAAATTTCTGTCAACACCACAGGCTAAATACAGTTTTAATTATCAATAAAAACACAAAATACACAGTTTGATGTTAAAGGTCAGGGCCACAGGAAACCCATTCACCGTTACTCAGAAACCCCTTCATAATAATATTCCTATATTTACTCACTTGAGCCAAAGGGAAGAGAGAAAATGGGGGAAGGGTGGGGGAGAGGAAAAGACCACAATGCCAAAAAAATTAGCCTTACCCTTTCATTCCCAAGATCTAGATATTAATTCTCTAGACTATTTGGTATATATTTGTCCCCTAGAAAATATTTTTTTTCCCACTTCTGATCATCCTTCTGTAAGGAGATGTTTTGATATTGTAAATAGAAATTCATTTTGGTCATCTCTGAGAGTAAAAGGGTTAAAGCCAGTGATTGAAGTTACCAAGCCTCTGCAATAACAATGATAATAACCTGTGTTTTCTTGCAGCGTCTTTGGAGTATGTGGTCTGTTAATGATTGTAATGAGTTGCTGTAGGACCAAGTTGATATACTGCTTCATATCTGATCCTATTACAAAAGTGAAAGAAGATTCAGGTTTTATAATGACAATGGAAACAATGAGTTTATTAAAGGACAGAGAAAAATGGTGGGAGGGAAAGAAGTGGGATTCAGAGAAAGAAGAAAGAAAGTTGAGGAATGGGAGAAAAGAACAGAAAAGTAAAGGGAGGAATACATGAACAAACAGTCAATCATAGTACATGCTACCAGACAAATGTAAAGGTGACAATGGAAGTATGAAAAAAAACAAAAACAAAAAAAACAAACAAAAAAAAAACATGGTCTTGTAGTAGAAGGGAAAATATATTACAGTATACATGCAAATGCCAGGCCATACAATGACTGCATCTTACCTAACTGCACAGATATTTCTCCAATTGCCCATGTAGCATTGTTGCAAACCGAAATAAATTCTGGATTGAGATTCTGGCCCAAGATTGGTAGGAAGTCACCTACAGTTCAACAACATTATCAAGTTCAAGATGATGAAGACTAGCTATCGCCTTGATATGTCAACAATAAATACAAATAAAAAGGTGAAGTAGAGAAACTGTTGAAGGTATGACCATGGCTGAAAAGTATACATACCAATGCAGGGTTTGACGTGTTGGAAGCAAGCTTTAGTCAAGTCTCCCAGCAATGCAAAAGAACTTTGTCTCACTTCAGGCATTTTGTCCTAGAGACAGAAACAGTAAAGAAATACTCTAAAGATCTTTCAAACTACAAAATGTGCCATGCAAAGAAAGACCCCAAGCAAGGAACTTTTAAGTTATTTTCAGCAAAAACAAGTACTGCACCTTCTTTGGCTCCAATGATAACCTTAGGCATTTACAGTGTACATTGTGCATAAACATGTACATTCACTGACATACCTGCATACATTGGTAAAGAAGGGTCATGGTGTTGCTCCTAATGATAAACTGTTCAATTTGCCCCTCCAGTCCCTCAGCCAATCCACTCAGAAGATCTAGAGCAACAATCATGAAATCCTTGTCTGGAGGTTCAAACTGCTCTGGATGAGTTTGAGATGCCTGAAAAAAAATTTTTCATTCAGAACAATGGGAGAATGTGGTAATCTATTCTCATTCTTAAGTTGTATACATGTACCTACCACGCTTTGAGTTAGAGTTTGTTCCACTAATGACACACATCTCTGGAATACAGGCTCAGCATATGGAAAAAAGCCAGAACGTAAAGCTGTAGCTACAGAGGACAAACACTCTAAGAGTGGAAAAAGGTCTTTGTCCTCATCTTTCAGCTGGTTCCACTTCTGAATAAGGGGTGGCATCAACATATTGATAAACTCAGGCTTGTTGAGGTGGTGACCCACTGAGTCAGCTAGTGTACCAATTGCATCATACAATATAAGAAGGTTTTTGTGCTATAAAGCAAAAGAGGAAAGGTATTAGATTATTGAATTTTTCAAGCAGAAATGATCAAATCAGAAGCAAATGGAGACTTGGAAAACAAAACAACACAAGAAGACCAAGTAACTTTTAAATCAACGAGGTTACGTGGATACTTATTCAATAATTGTACTGTATATGTACAATCACATTAAAGGTAACAAAACAACAACTATCTGTTCGGTTCTCCATTTCCCAAATGCTTAATACCCAATTACAAACCTGTTAATAATCATTAAAATACTGTTTTTTATTTCGATTGGTTTGTTTGTTTTTTTTAGCAGAGGTTTGGCTTTAGCTGCAACAAACCTGATACTTGTTGAAGGCAAACACCAGTGTCTCTAGAATGAAGCTAAGATACGGAACAAGTTCAGTACAAGCTTCTTCCTCCAAAGTGGCAAAGGCACTATGAAAAGGTCAGATCACAAGTAAATTAAAAATATGCACAGTGAATGACAAAAAAAAAAAAGACACCTTTGTACATGTCCTAGCTTTTGGACACTCACAATCAACCGTGTGTGTAGAATTTTAAATCAGCTGTGTTTGGAAAAAGTGACAATGTGTAAGTGATAGCATAAACATCTCTGAAATGCTCGGAGCAGTACTTTTCCCAATGGTCTGCTATTGCAGATCTGGAGAAAACCTAGTGGCTAGTATTTCATAACTTTGTAGTATGTGTAAGCGCTCAGTTTTGGGAATGCAATGGGTATCATCAATATCAACTTACTGGTATGTTCAAGCACTTTTTGTTCAAATATTCTCAAACCATTTTGCTACACCATGACAAGGCTACAGTATGCCTGCTATTACATAACAACATGTGCATTGTACATGTATGAAGCAGTTTCAAAAACAAGAACTTCTACATATACTTTAAAGCTTTTGTTGCAGGATTGTCACAAAAGTTTGCTTGAAAATGTATTATTAATGTGGACAATATGATGATTCTAAAGAATGGTGGTACCTGCATGCTGCTTCTTGAACCCTCTTGTTACTATCCAAAATCCGTTTCAGGAGCTAAAGTTGAAGAATTTTGTAGAATTAGAGCTACAAAAATACATGCACATAGTGTCATGGTGGTAGAAATGCAGCATACATGGCTATTGTCCCCAAAATAAAACTGTAGCACCTACAATGCTTACCTCTGTCATGAGACGTTGAAGGTATGCTTCATGAGGCTGACTAACAACCCAGTGTGCATAACGACTCAGGGTCCAGCATGTGATAGAGCGCACCAGTGCCTAAAACAAAGCCAAATAAACAGGTAATGCATACATAGCAATTTCTGTTCCTTGAAACCAATAAATGTTAATTTAATCTCACTCACCCTTTTCTCAGAAAGAGAATTTATCAGGAAAGGAATTAGCTCTGGCAGGTGAGGAGAGATACCAGTTATACAACCTAGAGAATAACACAAATATTCATCAGCATGCACAGTTACTATCATATACTAGCTTCAAGAACCTTAAAAAAAAAAAAACAAAAAAACAAAAAAAAAACAAAACAAAAAAAAGAAAAAACATGAAACATAAACATGAACTTGACCCTTTCATGACTCTGGTTGCTTTTTTCATGATAATTTGTCAATTTATCAGCACAGAGAGCAGGATAACATAATCAGTTGAGAAATTTGCTCTTCCAGATCTCAAGTGTGAAAGGGCGAAAAGAGTGAAACCATAACATTTTGCATATACATTTACAGCTCAAAATGTGTTCAGTTGTATCACATTGTTAATAAGATCAAGTAACCTTCTGCAATGGCCCCTAGCACAAGGATTCCCGACTCTTTTGCCTCCCAGTCAGGATGGAAGAGTGTTTCCTTTAAGATTGGAAGAAGAACTGGTAAAAGATCATCACGGAACACATTAGCCAAAACATCCAAGGCAGCTGCAGAGCATTTACCTAAAAACGAAAAAAAAGAAAAAAAAAAAAAAAAAAAAAAAGAGAGAGAGAGAGAGAGAGAGAGAGAGAAAAAAGACAAAAATTTATATCATGTGTTGTTTACCAATGAAAATAACAAAAACAAACATACACAGCCCTAAAATGTAAGTGCTATCAGTTCCAAACCACTTACGTAAGTTCCAGTCTGAAAGAGTATCATCATCCATATCATCATCATCTCCATCACTGTCCCCCTGAAAAAAAAACAAAAAAAAAACTATGTGGTGACACTTTCGTTTTATATTGAGGATGCTCTGAGTCAACTGGCTTTCATATAAAACAAGGACTTGATTAAGAGTTTGGAAGCTTGAACACAAAACCTTCTCGATGGAATTATAGTCCAAATCAGTACATGTTCTGAGACTGTTTGGGGGTTGGTCTTGTAATCTGGTGGTCCCAGGTTCGGGTCCTCCACCCCATTACTCTCCTTTTTTTCAGTTGGGCCAAGTTCAACTTCTTGGCTGCACTTTGTATATAGCCAACTGACCTGCCTCCAGCCAGTTGCAGTTCTTAAACACTTTGTCCATGTTTATTTACAATGTTTACTTTCAATTTTCTTGAATTTGAGGGCCACAAGTTTATCACTTTGTAACTGTTTAGTGTCACCCTTTTGTTTTAAAATTATCATTATTATTATTTCCAGGCAGACAGTTCTCCACATTTGCCAAGATCTTACATCAACTTCGCCATCTGCTTCATGCTGCTGGCTGTGCGTCTTGGATTTATGAAATCTTGGTCTGATATCCTGCTCACTGTCTGGAACAGACTCATCATCTTCATTATCAGCCTGAACAAGGAAACAAAATGAACAAATGTCTGTACTTTCCTCATTCAGTAAATCAAATGAACAAATAATGAAATACATGAAAGCAAAAGAATCATGCACACAATAACAACTCACCTTCAGTAGAATCAAGTCAATCTCTGAATACCTCATACCATTTACTAGTATCGGAACAAGCCTGCAATTTTAGGAAAGGACAAATCTTAAAGGAAATATTAAGGACAAATCATTGTCAGTTTCTCTAAGTTTCTCACTTCAACCTTTCTGTAAACATGAGAGGTGTGAAAATTTCCACCTCTACACAATACATTTGAACCTTGAGTCACACTAGGAAAGACCTACAGCAACTAACTGTTGTTCAAGATGACTTTTCTAGAGAGGTTCATGAATTAGTGAAAATCAAAGTGAGGATTATTAAGGGCAACACATCCTTCAAATACAGCGAGTATTACTTGTAAGACAAAAATGTTTCCCTCATCAAAGCTAAAACAAAATGCTCAAACATAATTGATTATCAGCAGCCCTACTTGAGCACTAACAGCACAGCTCACATGTCACGCCTGCGAAAATGTACGTACTGTTTGTTGTACGAACTACTGAGTCATGACAGAAATATGTTAAAATGCTTGTTGCTATACCTATGAAGGTGTGGGCTAAGAGCCTCTTTACAGATAGGCTGTTCTGCCAGTGTTAACCAAAACTCACAAGCTTCAAGTGATACATTTTCATCTTTGTCTTGTGTCCTCATCAGCATGTACTGAAAAATATTTGTAGAAAAAGCATTTCACCTTACATTGCATTCATCTCATATCAGCTAAGATACAATGTATACTCTAACTAAAGGATATCAACCCTACTACAGAGTAAATAAACTGATTAAATACTGACCTCTACAATGTTATTCATGTGTGGAATTAATTGGTCTGCTCTGACTTCCAAAAGCATAACAAGGGCTCTGCAAACATTCTTTCTTACTTCTGGGTCTTCATCTCCCGCAAGCGCAAACAGATTCTATGATAAAAAAACATTTTCTTAGATAAATACTTTTGTACCAGCACTAGTAGTACATTCTTTGTACATGTAAGAGAAGCTTTCTTTGTAAATCCTAAGAGGGATTTACAAAGTCTATAATGGATGAACCTGACCATATCAATCCCATTATCAGAATAACTCAACAATACCTAAGATCAAGAAAAAAGTTTCAGAATTTGATGTTTCAATAAACAATTTAAGAGTAACTGTTTTAAAAAATAGAATCATCTATGAGCATAACTTTGAGATGTTCTCCAAATGCCTGTCTATGGTTAATTGTGACCAGGCACAGGATTTCGTACACTAACGCTTTACCGTTTAACGAATCAATCCGTTTACTATCCGTTTAAAACGGATCATTAAAGCGTTTAAACGCTTTCTTCATCCGTTTAAACGCTTTGCTCATCCGTTGAACGTTTTCGACAAAACGTTTAAACGGTTAACCTATCCGTTTAACATGAAATACATCCGTTTAATGGTTACTTGCATCCGTTTAACGAGGAGAGCAAGATTTATTTTCATGATTACGCAAATTTATTTCGATTGACGTGTACCGCAAAATTTACAAAATCTGTGGCTATCGAGTTTCTCATCTGTTATTTCCATCGATTGAAAGGAAACAGATTTTGCTTTATAAAAGCTGTAATTACAAATTACTTTACGAAATCGAATGCTAGATGGAAGTTTTGTTACATGCGTATGCAAAATTGTTTCGATTAACCGACGGTGAAATCTACAAAATCAGCGGCATTTCTTAACGTTTTTCACTTGATAGTGCGTTTTCATTTCAGTCAATACGTAGAAGAAACAATGTAGGAACATGAAAAAAAAACGACTTTGCTTCTCAATTCTATTTTCCTTCTGTCGAGAATGTTCAGTCCACATGGTATGATTGACAGGTTGCTTCCTCTGCTTATGCAAATTTTCAAATGCATTGCGAGCTCTCCAGGGCGAGACTTGCTCTCGGCTCACTTCACTCGCCAGTGGATAGCTTAATTGCAGGCTAGTAATTTAATTTTACTTAGTTTTCTATTGTTGTCAGTCGAATATTATTAGCATGAAATGTCAGTGTTCCGCATGAACAATTCGTATAATTGTTCGCAACGGTTTCTGATCGATATGTGCATGGCTTCCCGCTGTTCTTTAGCCCTCCTCATCCGTTCAAGGTTTTTGTCCATCCATTTAATGTTTTGAGCTATCCATAAAATAATTATAGATGTTGTTCAACCATTTAACGTTTTAAGCCATCCGTTATTTTTTTTCTCGGCCGTTTAACGGTTTACAGAATCCGTTTTTGGACTTTGCTCTACCGTTTAACGCTTTGGACTATTTGTTTAAACGGACATGCAAACCGTTTAAACACTCTTACTACCCGTTTACTATCCGTTTACAAACCGTTTATTTTTACCCGTTTAACGGAAAAGCGTTTGTGTACGAAATCCTGTGCCCAGTCACAATTAGTATTTCAAAACCACACATGAACATGTACTCTATGTAAAAACTGTATATTCAATGTAAAACCTGTGACAGTCCTACCTCAATAAATGTGCCTATATGAACCATGAGGGCCTGTGTTCGTGTAACAATAAACTGATTTACACAAGCAATAGCGTGAGACCTACAGAAGAATTGAAAAAGAATAATTATTTGCCCTGCCCTGTCAAGCTTGAGAAATGACAGCTACACTTAGAGTAAACGTGAATGCCTTACAAGTCTCTTTACCTTATTTTTGGGCTTGCATGACGGAAGAATTGTAGAAACTTTGGGATCAATACGATGAGGGGTCTATTGAGAGCATCACTGTCAAGTTGCTCAGCAGAATCCTCACAGATCTTTTGCAGAGCTCCAAATGCTCCCTGCCAAAGATAAAGTCACAGAGAATTAACCACTTACGTATATGACCACTGTGCTAAACCCATTCTTTCTTGTAATATTTAGTTATTTTCATTTGCTATCGTATATAATATTACTACAGTTTAAAACATATTATAAAAAAAACAAAAGAAGGTCATCAGCGAGGAAGGAAAACAGAATTTTTTTTAATAAATATCCATTACCTGAAAAATTTATTTTCTTATTTCACAGATAGAGAATATTTTTATCTCTTACACACTTCTTCATGCAGCTACCTTTCTTAACGATAATAAGTTGACCTAATATCCACTGTTCTATTACAAAAGGATTGGAAGATACATGTAACACCTGCATGTATGCTATTTAGCCAGAGGATCCCTGAATGTAACTCAAACTTTTTCCTTGTCATTTTATTACGGCCATCAATGTAACATCACAAAGAATATCATGACCTTAGATGTGGTAATAAAACTGTTTAAATTTCCAGCAATGTATGAAAATCTCAAGAACATATGGGATTTTTATTCTAATTTATCATCAAGAATGAATGGGTAACTGAACGTTCAATTACAACCCTAGTGGCCAGTCTGCAGAGTATGGCTGAACTTGGTGATTCTGCTGTGCGAAATTTATGGTAAGAAAGGCAAAAACTGCACATATATCTGCCATACTTCGCAGAGAGGCTAAGTAGTGGAGTCATGATTAGCAAACTCCAACCTTCTGGCATTAAAAAATTTCAACAGGTAGTCAGCAATCACTACTATACAATACACATTACAAATAAATTATTTTAAAAATAAAAAATCAAAACACTTGTATCACACAAGCCTGTCAATACTAAAAATAATTTGAGATAATAAATCAAAATAACTTAATGATGATCTCACTGATAATATATTACTACCCGATATGTTATAAATACTCTACTGCTAAAATACCAACCAAGAGAGTTTACTCATCAAGAAAAACGTCGACAAATAAACGCATGTAAATTTCTAAAAATACAGCACTGGATATTTGCCAGCTCTGGATCTCATGGAGAACCAATGCTCACCTCGCAGACATTATAGTCCTCGCTGTCCAAAAGTTGGCACAACGTTGGCAATAGTTGAGGCCAGTTTGTTAGATCGCCTTTCGCCGCTATAGTTGTGATCAAGATACCAATCGTAGCTCGTATGAGAGGTGAAGGATCCCCAATGGCTTCGAGGCATTCCGACTTAATAAATTCTTTCACTTGGTCAGGGAAAGTGTGATAATGAGATTTAACGTTGTTCTTGAGAATCAAGCCCGAAAGTGAACGAGTTGGTTCATCTAAAATACAAAGAAGACATAATTTAGATGTAACAGATTGATTGGAAAATTCAGCTTGACCTTGAAAATCATTAAGGTTTGGATCGATAGAGCGGCAACCGGAACTGAGCTTGAAAACACATCTAGCTTACATCACGGCAAACACACTAACCTTCGCTCTTCAGCTTCGTAAGAACGAATATCAGGTAATTGTTGAAATCAGGAAATTGATTCAGAGACTCAAGTTTCTGAAAAAGAAATCCGTTAAGGAATACAAGAAAAATATAGCGACGTTAACACAACCGGAGAGCACGTGTGACGCGCCAAATTTCAACTGTGTTACGTCCTATATCTCGTCTTACTCCAGATGAAAACCAAAGAAAACACTACACAAAGTACATTAAAGGATACTTGTTGAACTGCTCTTTGTACTTCAGTATTTGGGCTTTGACTCTCCTTCAAAAGCTGTATAATTTGCTGTAAACCGTCCTGGTCTGGTTGCCACGCCATTTTGCTTTTTCGCACCGGCTCCAACCCCTGCACTTCTCGTCGGACTCCCCAAACCTTCGGTAGTCTTCGGTATCGCTCGGCTGCTATCGGCCTAACGCTTGCATTTTGAAAGTCTGTCTCACCCGGAAAAGACGACACGTTAGTCGCTTTGAGAGTTGATAATCGTCAACTGAAATAAGTCAATATAATCTAAATCATAAGTCTTACCCAAATCCAGATGCCACCTCGAAAAATATTGCAAGGAAACTGGTGACGAGAATTTAGAAAAACACGGAAGAACTTCCGGTTTAGTAGCCGTAAATTATTTTTTCCCATTAGTTCGCTTTTAAACAGGAAAACAATCCAACTAAATGGAAAGTCGTGCTTACGCTAACAGGAAATCAGATACAAGGCAAAAAAGGTATGATATGATGTATTTTAGCTTGGTCAACTGTCTGGAGTTGGAGTTGAAATAGATTTTATGGACTCAGAGGGAAGCCGCTAATGATGACGGTGTTGTGGCTTCGTATTTCTTAAAATTCAAGCACTACTATTGCTTTAGATCTGTAGATGTCGGTGCTTAATTTTTTCGGAATATTTTAGCCTTTACATAGAGGAGATCGAAAGCCGTTCGCTTCGTAGCCCGAGCGTAAGACGAACATCTGAGGAGCGGTTTATATCTTTGACAGTAATAATTCAAGACCTTCCTCATCCTATCTCTTCCCCTTCTCTGACCGTACGTGCAGACCCTATGCTGTTTCTTTGAGAGCGAAGCGCGAGGATGAGTCAGCGAGGAAGCTACCCTGTTTCTAATTCTACTAAACTCCCCTTCCCTCCCCTCCCCTCTCATCGCCAATAATTAACCTCACTCCCATCATGGGGCTCTCTGTAGAGAGAAGGGCTCGTGAGTGGAGTATCACGAAAATAAACGCTGAATAAATTTCTTTCCTCTGTTCATCATCAGCTTGTTGACATTTGTCAACATGTAATCATCACTATCATCAGTCTTCTTTGTGCTCTGTTGCGCATAAGGCCCAACATGTAATGCTATAATACTTTATGTCGTAGGTATGGGGTAACTAACGAGCATCGCCGAGGAAAAATCACTAGAGAAATCTGCGACTTCGTGGCAGTTCCAAAGGATCTCATGGGTTTTGTGATTGGCACGAACGGAAGTTCGATAAAACTAATAGTGAGGGAGTCAGGAGCACGACTCACTTCAGACACCAATCAGGGTGGCTTTTCAGTCAGCGGTAATGAAGGGCAACGCGCACGTGCAAAGCAACTCATCCATCAAAGAATGGTTAGTAAATGATATTTGAAATTCGGCCACAGGAAGAACAACTGTTTTAAATAATGCAATTAAAGATTTTTATCAAACACAGAAAAACATCGCAACCTTCAATGTGAAACCGACCTCTGACCCCATAGGAGTGATTAGCATCTTAATTCAGAATCACCCTTGAATCAAACCCAAAGGTAAGGAGAATAAAGAAAATGATTGCCAACTAGAGAAGCTCTTGCTTTTTAAGCAAATTCCCCGCGTCTGTAAAAAGGGAAAAGTATAGAGAACGGTATTGAGAATATCCATACTGATGCGAGGGTGTTTTAATTTGTTCTATCGCTTCCAAAAGTAAATTTCCTTAATTGATTTCAGCTTTACCACATACAATCTCCGTAGCCCAAAGTAACATACTCTTTTATTTTAATTTTCCTTCGAAGGAGGAAGCCCAGACTAAAAATAGGAGGAAAGTATATCCCCGACAATTTGTGAAAATTCCGAGTGAATTCGAGAATCTCGTGAAAGGAAAGGGAGGAGACAATCTTCATAACATTTGCACAGTGACTGGCGCAAAAGTTCTTTCTCGAGGAAATAATTCCTTTGAACTGAAAGGAAAAAAGAAAAATGTACAGCATGCTGAGTTACTCATGAAACGAAGAGTGGTATGTACGCATTTAATTGTTTTTCACAAGAAATTGTTAATTTTATCACCTGGTAAGAACGACTAAGTAAACATGGCTCACAAGCAAAGCAGCAAACAGAAAGAAAGGCCCAACTACAGGAGCTTATCGTAGATGGAGTCCGGAGAAGGTCTTCCCTTACGAACCACTGTAATTTTCCTGGTTGACAGGAGTTTGCTATATAAGAAACACGTAGTGATAGGAAATAATAGGGAGCTTAAGCTCAAACATTTTTATGAGACGCAGTCGACGGCAGCCGAAAGTTACAAATTTTCATTGCTGGTGCTCGCCACACCTTTTTGGTCAGCGCAACTTGGTTTTTGTTGCTAAAAAGACGATCTTACGGTCGATACATTGGTGTCAAAGTACGCAAGAATACGTTTTGTTCTTCGGCTTGCGGTTCCCGTCCGCGTCCCAAAAAAAAGCTTTGCTTCAGTTCTCTAATCTCTAATGCCTACTAACGAGGGCTGAAAGTTATTCGCGTTGATCCTGAATTTTATTATGAGAAGCTGTGTATAAAACCTTGCTTACACCTGAGGCTTTTAACATACAACTCGTGTAGGCCATTTTCTCAACTTGGTCCTCACCGCGCGTGTCAAAACAAATCGTTGATCTAATTATAAAGCACAGACGGTTTTGATTGGCGCACGGCGACTGGAAATGTAGTACACTTGTGATAAGCTCAATGTAGATCAAATAAGCCCCTTCTACAGCATTTTAAACAAAAAAATGCAGAAGAAATATCTTGGAAAAGCCTTGAGGCAAAGAATTATTAACTACTGGCTGCCGTCTTCGTCTGAGAAACGTCTCTCAGTTTAAGGTCCTTATTAGAAGGCAGTGTTCCCACGGGGCCGACTTTTTTTCCGACTTAAATACTTCTGACTCGCGCGAAGCCAGTTTAAGCTTAGGGAAAAAACTGCCTTCGTCTGTTAAAAAGCGGTATTTTTTTCTTTCATTTTTAATGTACAGGCCTCAGCGAGGGTCAAACCGGACAAGATGTGCTGTTACATTGACGACAGAAATCTGCCGGGGGGTTGCGAACTACAACTTGTGCCAGTTGAAGAAGAAGACCGCATGGTGTTACCAGGATCACATTCACAACACCGGCTGAAACCGTCTGAGGAACACGAATTGGTTAGTTAGTATTTCTGTTCGTCTTTTTGTCAGAACACACATGAAGTACCACAGAATTTATTTAAACTCTTTTCGGCTTCCTTCTGAGATCGAGCTAAGCAAACTGAATTTCACTGTACGATTCACTCATTGCAATAGCCCAACGATCAAAACCGTCCTACAGTAACAGGGCAATAAGTATGGCGGGAGATATTGAATTTAGTGATCCACGGTAATTGAAAGAATTCGAATAGGTTTTCATGAATTTTTTACAGTCGATCTCTATCTTTTCAGTTTCAAGGAGCATGTGGTCGAGGCGAAACCGTTCCAAGCTATCAAAACGACCTTGTAGCAAATGCACTTGAATGTTTACACAAGATCAAACGTGGAATTGAGTCAAACAAATTTCACGAAGCAGATTTGTGGTGTCACATCGGGACCGTTATCATCCGAGACCCTGATGAAGGTGAGAACTAAATAACAATCAGAGTAAATAAAATTTAATATCGTGTAAGTATTCACTTCCATGACGGTGTCAGTTGTAATCAGTACACACCCATAGTAAACCGCTTCGCTGTACGATGACGCTCGTGACATGTCGAAAACGAACCATACAGATTGTTTCAGTTTCGTTTCGTCTCAACTCTTAACATGCAATTTCAAGTCGTTTTGTCATTCCCTGTTGTCTTTTGAGTCGGATAAAAGGCCGCAAGGTCACGCCTTTTTGTTTTCTGTAACTCTTTATTGTCCGTTATTTTAAATAATAATTAATTAAATATAAATAGCGGATGTTGGAGAAACATGGGATATTCAGGAAGCAGTTGACAAGCTCAAGAAAAGGAATTGGCGCCTTGCGTTCAAGGAAGGTGTGCAAATCAGCAAACACCTGCTACAGGAGACGTTTGGTTCACCAAAGACAGACGAGGATTATATGTCAAGATACGATCTAAGTTTTATTACACCTCAAGGCAGATCACTAAGATGTAAGGTAAGTTTACTTTAAAGAATATTATCCGAAGGTATATCGGGTACGTTACGGAGTCAAAATTTTCTGCTCTAAATATAATTTCTATTTAAGGCCCTTCTTTGATGAACTTGCAATTTAGATCGCTTGAACTTGAAGAGCGTCTTAGCTTGGGGCCTGGGCCAGCGCAGGTAACAAAGGTAATAAGGTGTCATTTAACAACGCGCGGAAGAGGAATGGGCAACAAAGGCAGATGAAACTCCGCCAACAATAGCATATTGAAATTGTCGGTTAATAAGCATGAGGCTAAATGCCCTTCTTGCTTCCATTAGGTGTGGGTTGCAAACCAAGATGTGCAAACAAAACTAGAAGAAATTCCAATTCCTTTCAGTGACATCAAACATGTTGTGGAAGAACTTCATTTCGAAGATGAATTTACCAGGTCACGATGTCGAGGATGGTTGGTTCTGCCATCGCAAAAATATCTCCAGGCTGACATAATTTTTCCCGGCTGCCAAGTCGATTGCAGGCTCATGATAAGACCTAAAACATGTGAGTTTCCTGTTTTCCTTGTCCTCTTGTTAGTTTGAGTGATAATTTTAAGTTTGTCTCAAAAGTGGTGAGAACAAAGACGCTTTTTGAAAGAAGAAGAATCACCAATTCTTTTCTTACAAACAGTCATATGCACTAAACACCCAATAAGCATTCATGAGATGACCCCACCTCTACCCCCTTAGATCAAGAAGGTACGTCATGATACAGCAGTTGTCTTTTTCGTCCGATTTCAACGAATAATTTTCTCATTGGATTCCCATAATTTTCCTTTTGTCTGATAAATAATTTTAGGTACAGCCATTGAATTAAATAACAGTAGAGATGAAGCAGAACAAGCAAAGGCATTAGCTGATTTTCTGTCCAGGAAGTTAACATTTACAGTAACTGATGGATTGCATGTGCCTAAAAAAGAGCTACCGACGGGATTATTATTCAAACATATGCGCTGCTCCCGTCGAACACTGTATGAACCCCGAGAAGGATTCACTTTGATAATTTCTGAAGAAAGCACTTGGTGTAGTGACGTCAGAGGGGAGCAGAACAGAGAAACAGTAAGAACGGATTAAGAATATTCCTCGCTTGATGTTTAATCTTGTCATAACGAAACCATTAAGGTCGAAATTGCCAATCCGTACAGCCCCGGAATACAGTGATAATTCAAGTAGCACCTTTTTCCCATTCACCCTTTTACCCCCAAG